ACATCTTCTCAGTGTTATTAATTTGAAGCAAATTTTATACTTTTGGATGATAATACTTTGACAGTCTTGTAGAAGATGATTAGAGATAACATTAGACATCCCTTGTTACTGTTAAAAATTTCTCCTTAAAATATGCAAAGATAAAGAAAATAATTCACTTGTGAGTTCCTTCATAATTAGCTCATAGAGGTTTTCACTGATCCACATGAGGATGCAGGAAAGGATGATGTTGACATCTGTTTAGGAACATGAACATGAACTTGGAAGCCAGACCCTGAACTTGAATATTAACTTGGCAACTTTACCAATGATAGAGGAAGACTTCAGTGCCTCCACTCACAAAAATAATGCACGAAAATCTCTTAGACAGTGTCTGCTGTAAGAGTAGCACTAGTATCAGTAATATTGACCTTTGCTGTGGATAGTCCAGTCACCACCTTCTCATCATCTTCATTGTAGGAGGCATTTGATCTTATATGTGCTTGCATGCAAGGTGTCTTATCTGTATTCATTTCAAAATGTATTTGGTTTCATACTTTTCCTAATGTTATTTCATTTTTCTGTATCATGGTGGATATAAATATAACTACTTTTACACAAAGATCCGGGAAATATCTAGAGTTCCCATAAGAAAATTAGATAATGAAAATGTGAGCATGGTGGACAGTGTCATTGTATCTCCAGTGTATTTGTCCAAATCTCAGGCTGCAGGTGACATTTAGGTCTGCTGTCTACACTTGATTTAAATAGGCTGTACGTTCCTCAAGGATGTTCTTGATCCACATGCCTTCCAAACCTAGAGAGAACGAATTCCCTGTGTCAGACTATTCCAGCTGCATCTCAGCAGGCTTTCGAGGGACAGGAAGGGATGAAGTTTGGCCAACACCATGAAAGACACCACTCCAGGATTTTTTGAAATTTAAAAGAGTAGAAGAAAGATTTCAGTTTTGGTTTCCTTAGGGGTTACTCCAATCCTTTGCTGGGTATCAGTTAGCTTTTGACTTTAAAATGTTTTAGAGTTATCTTTAGAAATCCATAAATGAGGTAACATCATTCTTGTTTGTGAAAGATTAAACTGCTTCCTCCCTAAAATCAGGAACAAAATCGTGTCTCTTCTTGCCATTTCCATTCTGGCATTCCTGCACGGGGCAGTTTAACAAGAAAGTAAAACAAAATTCATCTTGTTATAAAGGCAATAGTAAAAGTCTATTTGTGGGGAGTTACTCTTTATATAGATTTATACTTAGATAATCTACCCTCAGGAAATTCAGCAAAAAATGTTATTTGAGCTAAAATGTTTAGCAAAATAGCAATTCACAGAGTACAGAAGCCAGTTATATTTTATACACAAACAAGGAAAAACAAGATGTGAATGGGAAACACTGAATCTATTTTCAGTAAGTTCCAAAAGAACACAATAAATAAGAATAAACTTAACAAGGCAGGTATAAAACTTACTTAAACTACTACACAACACTGGTGAAAGGGATTATGGATCCCCTGCTTAGACGGAAAAGCATGTTGTGTAACACTATGGAGAACTGCTGGTTTGGTGTGTTCCTTACCCAAAGTCAGATGATTTTTCAAATGCAGACACAACTTTGAGGGGCCCTCAACAACTAAAACCACTCTGAAAAAGAGAAACAACTTTGAATAGTGTATGCTTCTCAATTTCTAAGCATACTATGAAGCTGATGTGATTGCCAATGTGCTGGAATTAAAATAGACACAGGTTCATGAGGTACAATTGAGAGTCCAGAAATAAACCCCAATGTGTATGCTCAATTGACTTTTCAGTAAAGGTTACAAACCAATTCCTTAAGGCAAAAATGTTCTGTTTCCTATATGGTACCGGGACACATAGATTCATATTTGTAGAGGAAGTTGGATCCCTACCTCATGCTATGTTCAAAGTAATGAATCAAAATGAATAAGTGACCTAAATATTAAAGCAGAAATATACCACTTTTAAGGAGAAAAGATAGAAGGAATCTTTAGCAACCTGAGTTTGACAATAGTTTTAAGATGTCACATCAAAAGTAAGTAAACAAAGAAACATCAACAAATTCAACTTTACCCCAACTAGGAACTTTTGTTTCTAAAGGAAAATGTCAAGGGTGTGAAAAGAATCCCATAGATGGGGAAAAAAGTTTGGTAAATTTTATATCAAACAAGAAACTTGTATTTAAGTACATATGTAAAGAATTTGTACAATCCAATAATAAAAAGAAAATCACCACATTTTTAAAATCAGAAAACTATCTGATTAGAATAAAACTCACTTTTTGGAAGGTTAAGAAGAGCATGATTGGATACTCAGAGTCATTAGTCATTACAGAATGCCAACTAAAACTATGTGAGACAGCAGTCCACATCCATTGAGAGATCTCCAGCAAACAAGTCAACATAGTGTGGGCAAGGCATTGGGATGGTGGAATTCTCATACACTGTTGATGAATATGAACCATGAATTATAACACTTCAAAACAATTTTAGTTCCTCAGACAACTATGGGAATTACTAAAAGATCCAGCCATTCTCCTGCTAGGTACACATGCAAGAGAAATGAAGACAAGTATTTATCAGCTGGTAAGTGCAAAATTAAATGTAGTATACTCAAATAATAAAATATTAATCACTATTAAGATTAAATCAGTAATACATGATGCAACATAACTATCATAGTTAATATTAATCAGTAGTAAAGAAAAATAGTGCTTATATGATTCTAATATTTCAAAAGATGTCTAAAATAGAAAAATTTGTAGAGAGAAGAAGTAGATGAGTGTATTGCTAAGGGGAAGAATTGGGAGTACAGAATGACTGCTGTTAGTTATGGTGCATCTCTTGAGGGTGATGAAAATATCTTGCATTGTAATAATGGTGGCTGAATTGTGACAATTAAACTGTCCTCTGTAAATGAATACATAGTATGATATACCACATACCTTAACAAATGAAGTGATTTTTTTTTGGTGTTTCGAGACATGGTTTCTCTGTTAGCTTTGCAGGCCAGGCTGGCCTTGAACTCACAGAGATCTGCCTGCCTTTGCCTCCAGAGTGCTGGGATTAAAGGCCTGTGCCGCCACTGCCCAGCCAAATAAAGTGATTTTAAGTATTCCAGATAGGACATGACTTTGTTCCAGTCGTCTCGTGTCCTCTAATGTTCTGTAGTTTGGTCAGGTCACTGAGCTTTCACTAGAATCTCTGCTTGCTATGATGTGCTTGAGGCACCACCATGTATGCTCCTGCAGTAGCTGGGGGACCAGCATAGGAATTCCCCCTAGTAAAGCTGATGTTCTCTGTACACCCCTAGTGTGGGAAGGTTTACAATGGAAATTTGCTACTCCTAACAAGTCTTTATCTTGGAGTGCTGCCTTTAAATAGCACAATGAAATTATGCACTAGGCAACCGAATATATCAAGCACCAAATGTATTGCAAAATTGATGAATTGATATTAAGCAACATTTTAGAAAAGTTGAATGCCAGGGCCCACACCCACACCCACATGGGAAATGTAACTGCTTTAACAGTTAGATCGTCAATTAGTTTTGTGTGCGATATAGAGAGTGATTAGCTACTTTTCCTTTTCTTTTTTTCTGAAACAGACTTGGAATTCCAGTATTGCAGATGAGCACAGTGGGTGTTCTTAGGAGAATGGATTCCCAGGGAAGTAGGGCTCAAGACAGTATCTGAAGTTTGCGGAATTATAAGATGTGAAGTTTCAGTTCTTTTTCTTTTTCAGCCAGCCTCTTCCAGGGCAGCACAAGTTCTTCATTACTGTCCGTTTTTAAATTAGTGCCAGTGTTTAGTTTTCCTGTGTTAGGTGGTATTTCCATAGTGCTTTTTCTTAAAAAGCAATGAAAAAAAGTAAACTCTAACTTAAAAACTTTTGATATGTGGTTCAATTGTATCAGGAAAAAAACATCTGTTTTATTAGTCAATATGAAATGTTGTAACAAATGTTTTTTAAAAGTTTCCAGGATAATATTAGGAGATTTTCCATCCCTTTTTATCCTGTGTGTTCTAGAAGTGCTTCCAGTGGGGCATTTGGCTAGTCATTCCTGTGAAACTCAAATAGCTTTGTTGCAGATTTGGAAGAATTGGTTACTGTTTCTGCGATTCACATTTTTAGTGCAGTTGGATGTAGTGGGTCTGTGGAATATTCACTTGGAGTCTGGGATATCTGTCTGTCTGTCTGTCTTTCTGTCTGTCTGCCCTGAGGGGAAAGAGAGCCCTAGTGAGAAAGGCACAACCTGCTGAGTGAGAGATGTGTATGTTCCTGTCCAATCCTGACAGCCAGTCATGGAAACAGGCTCCGTGCTGGAACCAAGAGACTATTCTGTGTGCCACTCACAGGAGGCTAAGCTCCACCCCGAAGTGTGGCTGCCTTTGTCATTTTAATTGGTCTGTGTTTGTGAAGTGGGGCTTCTATTTACTTATAGCTTGGGGCTTGTGTTTACCAAGCCTGGTGGAGGCCAAGTGACAGGGCTCCTGCAAGCTCTCCCGCTGTATCTTGAGGCACTTTTCTTTTCAGTATTGGTGCTGTCTAATGCGCGAGCTTCTGTGAAGCAAGCGCAGGAGGGTACAAGGCCTACAGGGAGGAATTACACCTAATTACTCAAATAATTGCTAGGCTGTTGCCTTCTTAGTCACTGAAAATAATTTCCAGGTCCCTGGCTTTTATAGATAGTCTTCTAGAGGCAGGAGGACACAGCCCCCTTTTTAACTCAGCCCATTCACTCACAAAATCAGAACACTCGAGCCTGCAAAATTAATAAGCACCACTTCCATTACATATATTTTAGGTTGTTGTTGCCGTGGCGATAAAGTCAGGGACATTGAATCTCCTCTGTTGAGCCATTGTTATCATCCCTGGCCATCTGCTGCAGAGGAGTGATATTCCATCTCATTTGCATGATGACTGATATATGGGCGGTTTGGAAGGACATATGCCACAGCAATCATGTGATGAAAATTAAAGTGAAAGTTTTGGGCCCAGAGCCGAAAAAAATCTGTGTGTGCGCATGAGGCTGTTGATGTGCAAATGTGGATCATATTGAGAGGGTCTGAATAGGGAGGTGTGACGTAAGGAGGGCTGCGCGCAGGTGCTTATCTCCAAGCCGTCAAAGGCACTGGATGGCATATCATGGAAACTACCTTTCAAGGCAACAGCTTTAGTGTTTCCTGTCAGCACACCAGGGAGGAGAGAAATAGTTTTGGAAACACACAAAAAAGTAAGTTAAAAACTTTTTACCATGTTCTATTCACCCTAATGTTTAAGAGCTCGGATAGTGAGTGAGCAAGTTTTCAGGTCTTGAGTTGTTGGTAGTTACTTTTGTTTCTGAATGTGCGTGTGTGTGTGTGTGGGGGGGTATTTCTAAAGGCTGACGTGCCCATGGCTTTTATTGCTGTTTGTTTTGGTTTCTGTTGTGATGTACATTTGGCATGATTTTAAATTCATTCATCACCACCCACCTCCACTTTCTCACTCTCCTCCAAAAATGGGACATTGAGAAGGAGTTCAGAATAAAATGTCATGGTGCAATTACATTTACGCTGCATCAGCTGCTTCACTTCTTCATATATATTCCTGAAATATGTGAATTTGTAACAGAACATACTTGATATGAGACAGTACTCTTTTTTTCTCTGCAAGCAAAGTAAAGTAGAACTATTTTATGAGCTCACAGAAATTATCAGTGAGATCTCATGTCTTCCAAGTCTTTATTTAGAATTGAAATCTTTGCTATGTTGAGTTGTTAATGAAATTTTATATTAATAACCATTATCTTTAAAAAGTAAAGGTTTTCTAGATTCTTTTTGAAAAGCCAGAACCCTGGTTTAAACTCCACATAAAAGGAAAAGTTTGTGGGCAGTCTCTAAGATATTCAAATTCATGAGTTGGGTGAATATAGGATCAGGTTTGAGTACTCAAAGAATTGAACAAGACTAGTTTTTAAAAACAACACTTCATTGTCTATAGATGTGCATGGCAGGATAATTTCAGAAGTCAAAGAGTAATACTTTAAAAGCAGAATGAGAGACTTAACACTCACCTTGAACAAAATTTTACAGAAGGATGATTTCAATGAAATACTACGCAGGGATAGGGAGAACTTTGCCACACCTTAGTGAGCAGTACTTTACCTCATATTTTCTTTGTCAACAAAACACCTGTTAAGAGTGCTTGCTTTGACGTACATTGGAATAATTGAAGTTTCCTATGTCTTTTCTTTCAGTTTTAGAGAATACAGCAACTAATAGGCAAAGTGTACAATATAATGACTCTAGTCTTTTTTATTTTGGGAATAGTGAATTATGTCAAAAAAGGTTGTGTCGCACCACCTTATAGATTAATTGACACTACAGAATCCATTAAGTTAAACAGAAATTTTGATGATGAAATATTGGATATGGTTCTGTATACTGTCCTTATGATAAGGAAGTAATTTTTAGGAGATAAGTCCAGAATCCAAAGTAGTATTAAAATAAAACTTTCTTTACCTTTAAATTTTTCTTTGCTAATATATCCTAGTTTTATGCTGTAACCTAAGATTACCCTTGTTCTCCCTTTTCCTCATTCTAAATATTCAATTACTCAGTGGTGCTTATTATGTGGCCTTCTTGGCTTACTACAATATTAGATTAATATAGATTTCTTATGGAAAATTAGCGGAAATCACTGTTGCACACAAGAGCAATTCACTCTTCTCTTAGTCATATTTGTGTTACAGCAGGCTTACTATTTTAAACTTGGATAGATACACCGTGTCTTGGAGCACATGGGGTTTGTATCTGAAACCTGCAAAGAACATGGGAACCTTCCACAAGACTCTAATTCAGTTGTTTTTAAATGAGACGTTTTACAGTGGCAGCCGTTCTTCTGTCACACCAGCCAGAAAGATTTAAAGTTTTTGGTTCCTCTTCTGTGAAACAACTGCAGGTGACAGGAAGGATAAGTGGTGCCTGGAGCTGTCCAAGGTATTTGGCTTCCAAAAAGTTAATCATTATAAAAAAGGCATTTCTCTGTAGCTAGGTAAATTGGTTTAATCTCCATGTTTCAAAGTTAGGATTATGTTGCTATTAGAGCAATAAATCTAGTAAATATAGTAAATATTTTAGATAATATAACAATCTTACTTATAACTAAATTTAAAACTCAGAAACAGTTCAAACATTTCTGAAGTTAACTAGTGTTCTGGTTTTCAGCTCTAAACTATTTAAGTGGAAATAAACAAAATTCACAACTATCAAATTTATAACTCCATGCCAGAAACATGGGAGCACCATGGGAACAGTCTCTAGGGCATACAGCAGTGTGGACAAACATCGAAAAACAAAACTTGCAGGAATTTATTGCTCTTGAAACTAATTCTTATCCTTACATGACCTTCCATGTCTGCTATAGGAATCCAAAAGATCATTATTGTTTGATATGAAATGCAAAACAATAGTTAAGTTGAAAGTTTAACATCATGAAATTCAAAATCCCAAGTGGTATATAAACATTAAAGGAAACTTTGGACTGCTAATCCTAGGAAATGAGTTTTATGGATTGAATTCAACAAGGCTTCAGAAATGGCTCCATCTGCTGCCTAGCAGCTGCCGAAAGGATAAATTTAATTCATTAATTCATTTGGAAAAAAGGATCCAAGTAGTAAAGACTTCATTGCTCGTAATGCATATAGGTGGAAACACACTGAAATGTGGGGTCCTGTTGTCATCTTAGATAATGAGCTACATTGTCTGCTTTTTTGGGGGGGGAAGGTTTTCATGACTGAGTCAATATGATGTTGATTTTTAAGATAATAGCCAATCATTTTTAATTAGTTCAATGCTTAAGAAAAAAACTCAGGAAGTTTAAAGTCTCAGTTTTAATCTAGGAAACTATGAAAACTGGAAAAAAAGCAGCTTCCTCATATTGCATATGTGTCTATGGGAGGTAGTATATGTGCCTATACCTACCATATATACATATGCATTCATGTTTACACATAATTATGTCACTGAAGTGAATACCTCCCTTCAATGATATTTATATTAGGTAGCCATCCTATATTATTTGTGGAGATATCAAAGATATGTAGTATTTAACATTAACAAAAGTACATCATATCTTAGATCCAAACTTTGTGTCTACAAAAGGGTTGGAAGGTCAAATAACACTAGTTTTCTTCACCTACATCCTCATGTTAACATTTGTAATCTAGTCTCTCTGTCCAGTCATCCTCAGCAACCTGATTCAGAAGATGAGAAAGTTGTACCTGGAGTCTTTTCCTGTTTCCTCTGTGACATTAATCATTTTGACATTAGTGTTAAAATCTGTAAGACATGGGTATACATTTTAATTGAATGGATTATACAGGATACTTTGGTATCTTGTTACAAATGTAATGAAGTTTTGATGCCAGGTTTCTCAAATCATATTCAATCGTCATGAACAGGCATTAGAAAGTTTACATTGTTTATATTTAAACTGCATTCACTTTGACAGATTTTCTTAACTGCCAGCATCTTAATGAGAGCCAGGCTTTCCTTAGAACTATACAGCTCACCTTTTCTGGCAAGGCAAATACTTCCTGGTTGCCAGTTAATTGATTTGTGATAGAGATAAGAGCAGCCCCAGGACGAGGCTGCTTCAGTAACCAGTGTACATTTTAGCCATTTTTTTTTCTGGTTGGTGATTTTGGGAATGGTGTTTAGCCTTCCAACACAGTCCATAGCTCACTGTGGTGTGTATGCTGGGTTTACTATAAAGGTTCTGTGTGTACCCTCTGGGCTGGGTTAAGAATCAGGGTTTATGCATTTACTTGTACTGTTGCATTGTTTAGACAGCTTTGGTTTAGTTTTGATCTTTTTTTTTCCCTTTGCCTTTGAGGCTCTTCCACAGTGTCAGCTGCTGACTGATAGTAGGAAAACTGCCTCGTGGTGTGAATGAAAGGGACCTAGCGGTTGGTAAACAGAGATAAGGAATAAATAGAGCACAGGCAAAAGGAGATAGTTCTGTGGGGGCCCAGATTGCTGCCAGTCTGTTCAGGGGAGATGCGGAGCCTGTCCTTTTCCCAGATTAAATTAGTGTGCGAAGTCTCCAGTGACCTCCTCCCCTTCTCCCCACACTCTTCAGCCAAGCTGAACAGCCTCTGCTGTAAAGTATTCATTTTACCCAGGGACACACGGACAATAGAGCTCTCCCTGATACTCATGGACAGCTGTCGTCATTCAGAGAGCTCTCAGCATTTCATTTTTCATAGGAGTTAAAAGGGTTTTTACCTTGGAAGTGAAAGCGACAGAAACACAACTTTGCCAGTTTTGGGGCATTTGGGCAAGGGGTCTGACTGAGGCAGGGGTGAGCTGTGAGCAAAAAGAGTCTGCCCAGGGAATAGATTCTTTTTGTTGTGCTTAATATGATTAAACTAGGACAGAAATTAAATTTCAACTCTGGGTTCCTTATTAGGACAAAATACCTTTGATTCTGAAAGTTTCTTGAAATTAGGGCCATCAGCCCACAGTAGACAATTTGTGTCCACCTGGTCCGCTTTCATTTTGCCTAAATATGCATGCATTTTTATTGCCTGTGAATAAGCACCGGTAAATATTAAGTCTGTGAGATTCCTCGGTAGTCCCATACTTTTTATTTTTTTAGTGATTTACTGCAAATATATTCAGCATTTGACTGATTAAATAGACCTTCGGCAACCTTGAGGGTCACTGTGTAGAGTATGTACATAGAAAATGCATCAGCCCATTGTACCCTGGCAGCTAATGAGATTGGTCGTTAAGTAAATGACACAAAGCCTACAAAAAAAGCTTACAGCTCACTAGAGTATCACAGAGTGTCCCTGCACACCACACAACGACACAAACACTGGACTAACCTAGCCCACCCTGCTTTATTCTACATCACTGCTTCCTGATGTCAGCGTGAGAAGCAGAACAAAGGCTAGGAGGCAGCGGTAAGTCAGTCTGGCCACGAAGCCCTAGGGAGAAAGTGGAGCAGTCCTAACTGTGGGGCCGAAAGTCCGATTCTGAACAAGTAGGTCCAGATGAAGGGATTTTGCTATTACTTCTAGAAATATTGCCTCAGTGACCAGTGTTCTGATTCTGTTGTTATTGTTGTATTGTTTTGCTGTTTCACAAAACTTTGTGAATCTCAGAAGTCCAGTGCTTCCCAAATGGCAAGTGAACCTAAATTTGAGAGGTGGGTATTTGTTGGAGATGAGGGGGCATTGACAAATCACTGCTGTTCAAGTGTGCGTGTAGATTTGAAAACTTTTAAATGTATGAGGCAACTTTAATTTTAGTTTTTCCTATTGCTTGTAAAACATAAAGGGAACCCAGGGCATGTTGTAACTGGTGAACTTTATTCTTGATATGATAAAATTGTTCCAGCCTTTACTGTGTATGTAATATCAGTTATGGGATAGTTAGTGTCTTAAAAATCAGTCAATCAATCAAACACAGCAAAACAATAAAATAAAAGCTCCTCTTTTGCTCAGACATTTCCATTTTTTCAAATCTTGAAATGAAAATCACTGTAGTATGTGCTGTTGAATGGGATCAGTAGTCATTTGCTGCTCTAGTTGGAGGGAAAAAAATCAAAGCTATCTGACACTGAAGCTGCACTGGCTTACTCTTTCCTTGGGAAAAAATGCACTTGCAGTATTGAAGTGTAACATTGCAGGATTTGTTTAGAGAAATATGGCAGCAGGGAGTTGCCAGAAAGTCTGATTTGCCTTGCTGAAATGTCTGTCTGGGTTAGATGTGGATTTTCTGAGGATGTTTAGCTCAAGAAAGGATGATTTTATTACAAGGCGTTCAGGTAAATTAAATATTTTATTCTAATAACTGTCAGCTGAATGGTTGCCAATGGCATAATGAACTCATGATGATCTCATAGAAAACATTTTAAAAGTATTGTTAACGTAGCGTTGTGTTTGTAAATAGATGCATTCATAATATCAGTGTCAGGATTCAGTTTTAAAGGCATTGCATTTAATATTAAACTGGCAACTCATAGTCATCTGCTCATGAATTAAAACAACATCCTGTAGAAATCAGTTTGCTAACTTACAGTTAGCTGAAAATTTTTATTTGTATAGGCATATAGAAATGTTTTGATACATAATAGTCTATTAATAATCATGAGAAATTCATAACATATGTTCATGATATGGTCTAAGTGATGAAAGGTTACATGCTTTATTTTTGTCTTGAAAACTTTTCCTGTTACAAATGTGTTCTCAGCCTTCGTTTTATTTATGTGATATAAGACTATTACGTATCTTTACATAACATGTTTTATATTCTTTAATTCTGTTTTTTTCCAAAGCAGCCAGAATTTGAAGGAAGTAAATTACATGGCAAAGATTATTGTTGTTTTATGGATTTTGAGTGAAATATGTGCATGAAAGATGTGTTTTGATTTAGTTAATTTGAGAAAATTCTAAATGTCATCGCTTCAACCTGCCTTTCATGTGGTTGCAGTGATGGAAAACAGAAAGCCATCTGAAAGTGGCCACACTTGCTTCCTAGCAATTTTGATTTAGGGCAGAGTTATGCAAATAGTTTACTCTCACAGGCATTGTAAGTACTCTACCTTATCTTTCTATGCTGAACGTTTTCATCTGAATCACCTGTGTTATAATTTCTTTTTCCGTAGTTGCTAAGACTTATCCTGTTGATACAAGAGTGAATGTTTCAAAAAGCATACAGTTCTTTGGTTGACATAACTGTTTCACTCTTATCCTCACTGGTGCAGTAGAGCATGGCAAACTTGCCCACAGTCTCTGAGTTGCTTCTCTGCAGATGAAACTAAATAGAGTTACTCTATAGAATATAATTTTCATTATTCAAAGCATATTCAAAGACCGCGCTGTAATTAAGCCTAGAGGGCATAGGTCATTACTTTGGTCTTATGTGAACATACTTCCATCAGTACTGTATTTGAAAGATTTTCAAAAATATAGCTAAGGAGCTGGTATTAGTATTGGGTAACTCCTTTCTTTAAAGAAATTTACAGAGTTTGTGTTGAGAGAAAGAAATTTGTTTTAATGAACTTCAGTTAGTTAACAAATGAGTTTGGTCAAAAGATTTTAGTATATGCTGTGAGCAGTGTAGGGATCTTTGCAAAACAACCAGGAATGCACCAAGAGCAATAACCAACATTTCCTAGAGAAAGGGCTGCTATTACATAGCATCATGGAGAATTGCGCATTTTGAAACCCATTCAGTGTGTGATGCTGGTTGGTTTAACTTTTTAGGCCTCAATGTCCTGTTCTGTTTAATGGGGACTGGAATAATAGTAGAAAATAAGTGTTGTGTGAAAACTAAACAAGGTAAGGTGTATAGTGCCCCTGGGGCATCATGCTTGCAGCTTTGAACTTGTGCTTGAGGTTCACACAACAACTGAATGCCACACTAGGCCACATCCCAGCTCCTATGCTTCTCTCCCACAGTATAGAATCTTGTCCTCTCTTCACTTTCAGAGGTCCCAGCTCTGTGAGATTCTTGGAAGGACTGTGTCAATTCCATGTTGTGTGGCTGTGTGCTCATACCATTCTAAGGTAATGTGCTTAGACTGCTAAGTGTATGTTAAGTATATGCATCAAAATTGACTTTTTATGTAGTTGTTTAGTAACTTTCTGAACAGAATCATTAGAATTTTGTTGTATTTCAATATAAACTTTCTGTAAGAAATATTCACTAAAATTTAAATATAAGGTAAAACATCTATAGTTTAAGTAATTACAGTGAAGTTTCTATTAAGATTGCAGTTTAATCTTATCTTAATTTTTTATTAATAATTTTAATTTCTTGCTCCATTGGGATTCATTTCATATTTAGTGTACATTAGTTCTTTTCACTTAACTCTTGAAGTATAAGCATTCCTTTTTCATAGCTATAATTATTGAAAAGTACTTTATTTTACTTTTTATCTATGTAACGATACTTGAGCCTTATTTATTGCTGAGTGTTTTATAATAAAAGATAAAATTCCATACTAGTGACCTCTAAGAGATACCTAGATTGCATTACAGTATTTGTATATTGTTTTGTCAAATGCCGCAACAAATCTATGAGCATTCCAGAAAAAAATAAAGTTTCCGTTTTGGGGAGAATATTGTTGGTAAGGAAAACATTTTCAATTCCAAATGACCTATGTCTATGGGAGAATTTTCCAATTCCATATGTCCTATGCCTATGGGAGAATATTGTTGACTCACAAAAAACACTAGTGTGTTCTGTTTTTAAATTATTATTTATATACCTGATACATAATTAAATTTAATAATAGAGTAGATTTTAAAATTAGATGTTTTAATCTATTTGATTTACAATGTGTAAGTACAAAGTTGCTAGAGATGTCTACACATTTTTACTAAAAGCTCTTTAATATATTTCTACTTTGCTGATGATAAATATGTTAATTGATACTAGTCTAATGAGGGGCTGCACTTGACAATTCCATAAGAAACATTGATACTACAATTTAATAAACACAAATATCAATTTTGTGATGTATTTTCCAGATCCCTTAAGTTACACAGTTTAATTTAATTTCCTAAGTTATGAGGTTTTCCTCATGCAGTCAGCATGGCTAAAATGCTGGTTTGAAAAACCTGTCTTCTTTTTTTTTATATGTCACACACATGTTCAGTATCAATGTGAGTGAATTCATGCCTGGCCTGAACAAAACTTAGCTAGCATTGCTTACACTGTTATGCAGAACCAGACAAAACTGAAATGGTTGACTGTTTAAAATGAATAAATAGCATTTTCTTTCCTGGAATATAAATTTAAAAGAATATGAAAACAGAGAAAGAATTTTCTTAATGAAAAGCTGATTTGTAAATGGTCATCAGTTGGAAAGACATACTGTTTGCTTGTTTCTGTGGTAGATGTGGTATGAATTTGAATGGAAAATATTTACCTCTTTTACATTTTCCTCCTTCAAAAATCAAACAATTGTGGAGAATTAGACTTAGTATTTCTATTCTGTGGGGTGAAAAAGAGGTGAGGATGAAATATGCTCTGAAGAAAATGAAACCAGGAAAAGATTGAGGCTAACATTTGACTGCTCCAGAAAGAGGACAGGATTTTGAGCATACAACCTGCAACACACAGAGCCCTTGGAGCTTTTGTGTGGGTGAAAGATACCAGTGTCTCCCAAAAGGGTTAAGGGAATGCATTCTGTTGCATCTGCTTACTAAATCCCTTCCTTTAGCAGAAATTCAAATTTTGTAAAGATTATTCGTTTTATTGATGCATATAATTATAATCACAAGCCATCTGCTGATTTGGCAGGCATGGTTAAAATTCTCTAACTCTCATAACCTTTCAAGTACAGTGCCCTTGGGACTCTATTTCACTTTTATATTTTGGAAAACATGTAGGGACAAATAAGGGCGGTCATCTGCAGAATGTCAGACCTGGGCAAATGAAAGAATGGGGATTGAGCTGCTATGGTGGTTATGCTCAACAGTAGGGGAAGTTATCCCCTCCCTTTTTTTCCTGACTTCATGAAAGATGATCCTAGTTACTAGGATGACTTTTTGGAAATTTTTTCCTAAGGATTAAAGCTGTGTCATTACCCTCCCAAAAGGCAGTTTTAAAGCCTAACCAAAAAGAACATGCCAAAAAGCCTTCCAGATATTTCTTATGTTGGTCTTAACAGATAAACTCAGTATATTTTACTTAGTCTTTCTGAAGTATGGAGGGTTTCTTTTTGTTTTTCTGAAAATATTCATTTAAATAACTTTACAGCCTAAGATTTTGGGTTGTAAAATAACTTACACATTTTGATGTCGGCCTTTGATTGAAACACCACGTTTCTAAGTACTTTGACTATGTTGTTTTCATGTGAAATCATGCAATGGTCATATTGCCCATGATGGGAGTCTTATGTGACCCTCTTCTGCAACTATAAACATTTGAAGCTTGGTGGGCTTCCACGCCTGAATAACTTACTTCTGTAGAAGTATTTCTTCCTTAATCTGATTTTGTCAGCCTTAATACCCCAATGGCGGGGCTTTGCACACAGACAAATCTCAGTGGAGTGCAAGTCAGCTTAAGGGAACTTGGAGAAGCCATAGGAGTCCAGGACTTGGCTTTATCAGATATCAGAAGCAAGCATATACACAGTCAATGTTTTTCTTGGTCTATTTCTTTCTCACCATAATTCATGAAATTATCCAGAGAATTGTTTCTTGGAATTTTGAAGACAAGGAAGAGAATTTCTAATACTAATATTGCACAGGTCAAGTTTTCTCATGACAATAGTGAAGTATATGGCTTGACTGTACTTAATAGTAACCTTCCACACCCACCAGACACCTACTTTAAGGCAGCTTCTGTGCTGAGTTCTTTAATGGATGGTTTCATTTATTACTCAGAATAGTCATGTCTGTTTTTACACAGAAAGCAATGGACACTGAATCATGAGGTGTTTCTCATGTCACCAGAGGGATGCTCTTAAAATTTCTTCATGTATCATGGTCTCTGAAATAGTGTCACCAATGTAGACATCAAATAATGCTGGGCCCCAGGTACATCTGGGTTCTATTATAGTTAAATATCACTAAGACATTGAATGAATCAAATGAAGTGACTTGACAAGCTGCTTTATTTCCCTTATCATTACTATCTGTCACCTTAAGGGTGACCTCTGGAATCCTTTTGGTCCCCCAAATTCTGTAGTTGTAAACATTTTATAATTAAAACATGAATTTGAAAAATAATTTAAAGACAACATAAGCACTGATGATACCTCTCAGATATTTTCCATGCCAATTAACCCTGATAGCAGAAATAGCCTAAGAACCACATGAACGTCAGGTCTAACCTAAATATTAGAACAAGAGTTTTAACATTTGCTCTCACACTGAAAACTCTCAGCTCTGTGAGATAAACACAAATGCTCAGAAGCATCTGATAATTGAATTCCAACTCTGTATATTTTGATATTATCGCACTAACATAAAGCTAACTACCAACCAAAGTATTTTATGTCTACAAATTCGCACAACTACCATACACACACACAAGTTACCAGGTCAACAGCCAGTAGTACACAATCAGTTCTTCTCCCTACCTGGGCATGAGAAAACCACACTGGTGAGGGGGCATGCATGGCTGAACAGGCAGAACCCAGCTGAGGCCAGGAACTGTGACACTGTGAAGAGATGTGTCACTGACTGCATGCTTTGCTTGCAATTTTTCCTACGGGCTTGTCAAATTTCACTTGAAAGAAAGTTTTACTGTTCTAGACAAATGTTTGAAACCCTCGACTATAGACTACAGCATTCTTAGACCCATTATAGTCTTTGCTTTTGTACTAATCCTAATTAGCCTGTGACTGTTAAAATAATCATATAGTTTCCTTAAATTATTACAGAACTAACCTTAGGATACTTTTTAATCTTTTACAAATACCATACTGAAAGTATAATAACAAATAAAAAGACAATAAGGTTTGACAAAACTCCTTTAGAAGATAAACTATCTTAAAAACTATTTGTTCTTATTGCCTAACAGAGAAACTCAGAACATTACTAAGAATTGCTAAAGTGTTTTCAGAGAAAAAATAATTTAAGAAGGAATTTTTCAATTATAATATTGTAAACTTTAGGTAGATGCCAATCACGTGCCCCAGAGTTTTAATACATTATTTCAACTGAATATTATTTCAAGTAATTTGTTTGTATTATTTACTATAATGCCTGGGAAGAGAAATAGCAATGTAAATTTCAAAGCTAAATGGTAAAAGGCTGCTTGGGCTTTATATAATTGATTGACTGAGAAATATTTGTGTGACTCGGTTTCTAAAGTGTAGAGAATAAACACAAGCTGGGACCCATGGCCCCGAGTACTCATGAGTCAGAGTAGGGCAAAGTGATAAAAACAAATCAGTATTCACATGACTGTAGGTTTATTGAAACAAGTTGTGGCCAGGTGTAGTTCTGCTTAGACTCTCAACCTTAAAGTATAGAGCCCAGAAGTAGACTATTCTACCCATCCTTTAAAAGCTGATGCTACAGCATAAAGAACAGAGTGGCTCTGAGCAGAGGCTATGCTCTTGCTTAGAGATGGTATCATGGAAGTTTTTTTGCAGAGAAAGCTTTTAAATAGCATTGAATCTATACATTCAACAGACTTTCTGAGAACCTGTTGCATTCCACTAAGTTTGTTAAGCACATGGGGATTCAGGGTGGTTACACCCAGGCAGGAGGGGTGACAGAGAGGAGAATAGAGCAGGACTTGTGTTGTGTGGAAGGCAGGCCCAGGATTTGAGAATTGGAAAAGATTAATAAGTGAGTACTACAGTCATGGGTCAGTGTACACCATGTGTGTAGCATCCGGACACTGGGGATTTTATCCCAAGAACCACACACAAAGTAGAAATGACAGCCATCTGTCTGGGACAACCATGTGGACGATGGATCAAGACAGGACATTCAGAAGGAAGAGATGTTTAGAGGGAACAATATTGGGTTCTTTGAGGAGCATTACATTTTTGACAACTGGTGCTGATGGTGAGTAGCTGAAGGTCAAGATTAAGATCCAG